CCCCACTGCCTTTATCGGCGACAATAGCTGATACGCGTTAGAGGCCTGAAGGGTTACAATGAGGGTTGGGACATCCAATACTATCACAAGAGAACTATGAAGGCAAATTCTACAGCCGCCAACATCATCCCAAGTTACGTTTCAGTTTCCATTTGCCCCTCCTTTCTTGCTCCTTGCTCAGCCTCCCGGCTAACACCCCCAACACGTTGCCATCCTTATGGTAAGCGCTTCCAGGAAAGGGGTCCCTACATTTTCTGGAAAACCCACACTGCATCCGAGCAGCGACCCCAGGCCGCTCCCGCCTTTTGAATGGCCTGCTCATATCGAGCTTTCGTCTCTTCGGCCAGCTGTTTCTGCTCCTCTGTGTAGTAATAGATGCCTCAGTCGCCGATGCCACAAAGGATTGTAGGGCTTCCTTAACACCTACTTGAACCTGTTGGTACTAGCATCAGCATGGGGGAGGATTTGCTCGGTCAGCCCAACTCACTCGATCTCTCTCAGTCTCCATAGGCGCCGTTCATGACAAGGTCTAGGGTCTAGGGGCAGGTTAGGATTTTGACGTAGGGTAAACAGAATCAAAGAGCANNGCTCTTTGATTTCTTGGGTTGATATCCCTATTCTGGTCATAAAATCCTAACCTGGTTTAGGGAATCATGCCAGTAACGCCACAGGCCTGATCGGTATTGCGTACCGAAATCATTCCCCTGCTGATTCAGCGTAGTCGGGTCCTCAGCACATGAAGCTGTTTTTGTCGGCCGTCAGTTGTTTAGCACCATTCAGGTCGCGGCATGTTTCTCCCAAAACTTCTGCAATAGCTCAGCGTACGAAACCTTCTCTGGGTCATAGACTACCTCAGCCACCATGACATGGCCAGTTGTCCACCAATGTCAGCAATCCGACTGCCCTTCTGCTCGCATGCAGGAGGCATGAGGAACCCCCCTTGCCGCAGTGTCAGGCAGCACTGCGCATTTTGTACACAAGTCGCTCCACAGCGGACAATGTCAGTTAGTATATAGTCCCCCTTTAGTAGATAGAATATGGGGTATATGGGGATCTTATTATGATATGCCCAAAGCCATATTCTATCTACTTAAGGGGGACTATAGTACTACTGTAGCCGAAGGCCTGATGCTTGTTCCTCGCGAACGTAGTAAGGCTGCAGCTCGAACAACTTCATTGTGATTGGTCGCGCCCGTACATACATCACCATAGGTTGGATTTTCCTTGTTTGGCCACCAAGACTTTAGAATGTCAAAAAAGCGGGGCACCAGAGCACACTGACATGCCAAAATCCAATGCAAGATGTTGAGCACTCTACAATCCTGAGTATCCTTCAGTAGTCATACATACCAGAAAGGATCCCATGATACTAACCCAGATTCTATGGCACCGCCAGCATAGCCCACTTGCGTGGAGTACACGCCCGGCATCCTCATGAAGATGTTCTCGGAGCCTCTGCTAGCTCTCCAGATCCTATGTAGGGGTTTAAAATAACATGGCGCAGAGACTTTGTGCTGTCCAATGATGGGCGAGGTCCCTAAAATAATCACCAGTCTTGCCAACGGATAGAACATGGCCGTGTGTAGAAGCGGGTAGGGAAGAGGCTATTGTAAAAAGCAATCTCCATGAAAATTCCAAGATAGATGCGACTGAGGGCTGAGCACCAGAAGCAGCCCATGCCGAACATGGCCTCCAGAATATTGCCCAGAAACTACGACAAAACATGGATGTTTCGCTTAGTCCAATTTTTCGGTCCTCCTTTTGCAAAATGTTTCATAGGCTTTTGGGCATTTTCAAACATGGGCGGGTCCCGCTAAAAATTACCAAAAGAAATCCCATCCTTTTTCACTTTTTCAGAGAAAAGGGTTCCTTAGTTGTTTTTCAACTAAGCCCTGCTAAACCCTAAACCCTGAGCCATGAACCCTACAACCTAAGCCCGGAACCTTGAAACCCAGACCGTAACCCGGCAAACCCCCAAAACATACACCCTACGGTTGATACTAAACATCTTGCATGACTCAAGTATACTACAATATCATAATTCCCAAGGTACACCGTTCTTAGACCCATGCGGCGTTTTTAGAATGCAACACTCTTGGATTTTCTAATATCCACCTACCCCCACACCCCTCCACCCTCAACCCTAAATCCTCTATACAATCACATGAAACCCAATACAATCCCCTTTCTGGGAAGAGGATTACCGCCGGCCTCTTGCATCCCAGGGGGCCATGGTGGATACATGGTGTTGCCGGTCACATAGTGCTGAGCGTTCTCCTTTAGGTTTTATAATTTAGGGCTTGCGGCTTAGGATTTGCAAACTTAGAACTCGCGAGTTAGGGTTTCTGTTGAAAGTTTCGGATTTCGGGCACCACCTCCGGGTTCATTCCTCATTTAATCTTCACCAGCCCGTTTATAGTCCGTCCAATTTAACAGGGAACAGAAGGCTAATAGTAAACAAGGCTGAGTTGGAATTGAAAACTGGTTAATGCGCCGACCTTTGGGGGCGTGCTCCTAAAAAAAAGGCGCAACAATATTTCGAACATAACGCAGGAATTTGATTGCGGTGCCGCTGCTGCAATATCGGCTGCGCTGGCGTCAATATGTTTTCCCGCTTGCGACTGCCTCCGCCGTCGGTGGCTTGAGCCAGTTTTTGTAAGGTCCGGCCGGGCTGTCATAGCAGTGCGGATGCATACCTAGCTAAAGCTATGCTTTCTAGGGGGGTGATGCCAAGCCCACCAACCCTTGTCAGGGCTTCAGATTCAAAACTCAAGGCGTTTTTTGGACGTGCTTTTGAGGAGTGCCCCCAGGCTGTGGAGGGTTTGGGGCACTTTGTTTCAAGCCAGCATCATCAGCACAATTGGGCCTTCGTTTCTCATTTTTGGACACCCCAATATATCTACGAAATCCAAGAAGGTTTTGGAAAGGTGTTAAAACCTCATATGCGTGGTGTTGAGAAAAAATGGGGGCCCAAACAGGCCCCATGAAGCTCATGATGTTGACGGCTACTGCGAGCCTACGCTCAAAATACGCGCCGTGGGCAACATGTCTACTTCTAGCTACTAGCATCGACAGCACCTGCACTTAATGACAAGCGTGCAAAAGGCTATGCTGACATTGTACAACGATTTAGCCTTTCAAATACGTTCAAATGTTGCTCTCACTTGCAAAAAAGTACATATGGGCAGCACGGAAAACCACCTTCAGGGCCCTTCTTGATGGTTGTTTTGATCTTTAACCTCTCCTGGTCCCAATTTAGCCTTTTCATCTTAAACTAGGATGGAGCAGCGAAGGATAAGATCAGAAGGGTTGTGGAAGGCTTCGTGTAAGCGATTCTAAACTTAGTTCAAAGTTCCGTAGGTCTCGAGAATCAGCTTCTTCCAGTGATATCAACAACCTACACTCGACCATAGTCACGAGCATTGCGTGCCCAAATCGTGCCATCTCTGAAGTCTGTGTGACTGCTGAAACACTAGATCCCGAACTATAGCACCATGCCAGGTGCCAAAAGTTTGGATGATTAGGATGATAAATGGGATTGCAAGGATCCTCCTACTTAATTTCCCGGGGCTAGCGGGGCTTGCCAGGGGCTGGTGCTGGGAAGGGTGAGGACCCCCGTGGCGGCACTAAGAGCCACTAGCTCGACGAGCACCCCCCTTCTCCCCCTGGCGGCGCTAGGGCGACAGTGCGGAGCAGACATTACAATAAATGGCAACCACAAGATTTGCGCTCGACTTCTTGACGCTTTCGTTCATGTCGATTTTTTCTTGGCAATGGTCTTCCCACGTTTCGCGCTCAAGGCAGTGCTGTTTTGCAGCGGCGGTGTCGCCACGGATCGCCTTCAACTTCTTCATGGCGGAGCTTTTTTGGCGCGGTGGCATCGCCACGATTAGCGGCGGCCATTTCTTCCGGTGGTGGCATTCCCAGAGTTCGCGGTCAACCCCCCTCTTCGTGGCGGCATTTTATTTACCGCAGCGGCATCCCCACCTTTTGCGGCTGGGTTCGTCGTCCGTTGAAGCTCATTTTGGTGTCTGTAGTGTGTGTTGATGGTTCGGACTGGCACCTTCAGCCTCTGGGCCGGAGGTGACGTCCTTTGTTAGGCCAGGCTACTGCCTCAGCCAATTCTCCATTCCACTCCACTCCGCTCCTGCTGAATTACATTGGGTTCTTTTCAAAAGCCTTCGAATACCTGGTTTTGACATGTGGGAGTTTACAAGCAAAGGGGTCCCCTTATATCCCTCTAAGAAAAGAAAAGCCCCTTAAAGGGAGGAGAGTCCACTCCTGCGGCGCATCCTTGATTGGCGTCGGCGAGCCCTGAGGGCTGCCGAAGAGACCTTTGAGGAACAACGTCGTAGCGGCACAGAAAAACGCCAATATCATTTGAGGTCTGTTTGAGGTACCCTCTTTCATCATTATACAAGGAAATTAGGACCGTAGTATTGACAATCAGCTAGGCCCTACGTTACCTGAGGGTTCAGCTGGCCTTGTTCAGTTGCCGTATAACCCCGGTGAGCCTATGCCCAGTTATCCCCACTGTTAAGCCGCTTACTGAGTTTCCCAAACCTGCAACCGTGAGATCGGCTCATGCATGAGCTTGCATAAGTTAAGTTAACCCTCAATCCAACACCCTAAGTCAAGTTCATAGGACACGGAAGTACTTATAAGAGAGTATAATACCATCGCCACCAAGGCATCCCTCAGGATTTAAGGAGCTAATGAGGATTAGATAAATAGAGCCTGATAAGGTCCAATAAGATTGAAAAAACAGGAGGTGTATTCTAGGGGGGATAATACCGTGACCTCTAAGCATAGGGGAAGGCCTCTCAGTTTCTCACAATTAGGATCCAATGTCGGCGAGTCTGTGACAAATCATCGGGGGTAGGGCCGGATTTTTGAGACTGACTACCATATGGTTGCTTCCAAAAGAGGGAGCCCCACACAGACCCCAACATAAGGAGCCCCAAAAAGGGGTGCCTACTCTTGGCAACCCTAAAATCCCACATATCCCCTTCTATCTCTGTATGAGCACATTTCGGGAGCTTACGGTGGTCAGGAATCCATTAGCATCACACCTCACCAGTCGTGACCGCCTGCTAGTTGAAGTAGAAGCCTGAATAGTTGTGATGATAATCCATAGTCTTCTTGTCTTCGTTCTTAGAATAGGATTAGGGTGAATAGTCAACTATAGTCTATAACTGCAGACCGGCCTGATGTAACAAATAAATACAGCAAGTTGCCCCTGCTTCACACGGCTGGGTCACCCTTCCACTCGTGGTATACTTGAGAGTCAGTTTCCACCCATCGCCACCCCCCAAAAAAAAATCCATGATCTGCTGCTGCCCTGGAACCCTGCAAAAACCGTAGCAGTGTACTGGGGGTATATAGAAATGATTAACTGGAAATAGTTTTCGGCGTTCTCAACTTAAAGTTGTTGAGCCTTCCTGTGCAGGCACGGTGTCAACAGCATATGCCTTGTCGTGTGGTAGCTAATCAGCAGACTATTCATCAAGTGCGGCCCGTGGAAAAGCATAGGGAACGTGAAATGGAAAGCTTAGGTCTCGGTAACGGGTTTATAGGGATATAAGTATTAAGCGTTTGGGGATCATGGAGGACCAACTAGAAAATGCAACAGGAACTAACGTTATTTAGAAAAGTAATATATAAGTGCCTTCCGAGCTATGGGCCCAGCAGGCCCCGGAGTAGCACCGCACCTAGGATTTGGGATACCAACACTGGGCCCTCATAAGGAAGCTACCCAAAAACCCTGAACTCTAAACATGTATGGGGTGTAAGTTAGGCGCTCGGCCACCAAAGAAAGCGCGAGGCACGCGGAAATCGCGATCGGAGGATGGGCTGCCCACAAAGCTCCTATAACATAATAGGGTAAATATTGGGGATCATATAGGGGATAATGGAAAAGAAAATGGAAACTACCCTATACCCTAAACCCTAAACCCTAAACCCTAAAACCTATAATATAATAGGGTGTATATTGGGCTGATTCAAGGTTTGCCCTCCCAAAGCTAAGACGGAGCTCCAAAAGGACGGTAGCCTATGTAAGTTCCCTTTTGAGCTTCCGTGTCAGTTCGGGGGACGGAGGATGGGTTGTATAGGCTTTAGGCTTTGGGGGCTAGGATGCAGGGTCCAGGCTTGGGGCTCTAAAGGGTTTAGAGTCTAGAGTCTAGGGTTTGAGGTTAGGGTTTAGGGCTTAGGGTCTGAGGTTTCAGGGTCTAAGCCGTAGGATTCAGGTCTTTTAGTTCTGGGTTCGCGTAAGGGGCCGTATGCTCACCTCCCAGGCTACCCCAGTTTTGCGTGATCCATAATAATCCCACCCCTTAGTAGCGACGTTCCCCAGTTTTTGGGAACATGTTTTGTTCGGGGGGGGCTCATTATGGAACGGTGGTGATTCACCGTGCGCACAATCCGTTCACGTCTTTCATTTTAGTTGAGGGAGGGTATCAGCCTCTACGTCTTCTTCCACAAGTGATAGCAACAGGCATACGACAAGTAGTACTACGATTGCCACTGATATGGATGAACGCCTGTGATACTACCAGTCGTCTTCTAAGCCTCTCGAGACTGCGTGTGAGAACTGATTTCTTAGTGTTTTAGCTACCCGCTAGAGCTAGAGCCAAACGGAAAACACAATCCGAAGCTACAATATAGGAGACTATAGCTCCCCAAGCT